GTACGGGATCCCCTCCAGCCCAACCTGATCAGTTCCGTGAATGTGCAACGAATTCAGACATCAAGTATTGACATGCAACAATGGAGAATTGAGTGGTGTATAACGTGCAGGCCAAGCCACTGACTGTGCAGTAAAAGTACGTAAAGATGTCTCGGCCGAGAACGTACAGCAGCGAGTGCTGTAGCCAAAGAGTAAAACTCTGAATTTTAGACAGAAAGAGAATGAACTGACGTCAAACAGATTTGGGTCTAGGGGCCCTGCTTGAGCCTGGTCCCACTGGGTACCTAAGGGTCCCACGTAGGCCGTGATCGAGTCCCGACCAAGAGGAGTCTCACATGGACCTACTTTCTGCCTCTACCAGACTGAAAAACGCATTTCAACTCCTGAGAGAACCTACTAACTACAGCCATTCAGAGATAAAAAGACAAAGCATTGTAGAAAGATATGGCGTCCAAAGCAGAATACCTCATCTCTTCATCCATAAGGTCAGAAAGCAGTTTGCATACTCATACACACAATCAAGACCATAGAGGAGTAGGAAAAGGAACCCAGAATTATCCCAACAGGACAATCAATACCATGCACACACACACACATGGGCATCCTGTAGGTGCACGACACTTACCTGAGTGGCCTGAGCTTCGAGATGAAGTAGAATTCACCCTCTTCTCATATGGTCTTCCTGACCCCTTTAAACCACTAGTACACGGCCCCAGCCTTGCAGAAAGTTTTTGTCGCCACAAGCAAAACTCGGAGGCGCCACGCGACCAGGCCCGCCATTTAAAAAAAAAAACAGCGGCCTCTGAAGTGGTGCGGGTTTCATGCTGACACCCGGGGGCCGATATGTGGTGTACTGGTGCCTTAAACCACCACTACCCCCGCCGTCCTAAACTAGGGGGCACCGGTAGCACAGGTCCACGAGGGCTTTTTTTTTTTTTTTTTTTTTTTAGGTCTACCGGTAGCACAGTGGGGGGAACTGGTAGAGTGACAAAATTGGAATATGCGTTGAATTGCCCCCACGATTTATTTTGGGGTTGAAACTAGGCTACCAGCCGGGCCGCCCGGGTCCCGAGTGGCCAGCCCGTGCAAGGACAAGGGAGGGTCCCAGCAAAAAAAAAAAAAATCCAAAAAATCCGAAAACAAACTATGTTATGCAGAAAAATAAACTGAACAACTTTTGCCTTAGGGTCACATCGAAATTCTTTACCAAATTTAAACTATAAAATAAAATGTTAAAATATTTTTTATTTTAAAAAAAAAATTAATATTTTTTGGCCCGGCCGGGCAAGTGACCTCGGGCCACTCTGGTAGCCTAGGGTTGAAATGATTTTTAAATTTTTAAATATTTTTCCTAGATAGATCACGACGAAATCTGCGGCCCCTCCAAGTTTCAGACTTTTTGAAGTATTGTATTGGAGATGAAAAATCACTGAAGTCGGGGTACTCAACCTGTTGGCCGACACGTTATACCATGGCGCGGCATTTATTTCAGGGTGTTAACTATTTTTTTGCTATGTTGGGCCGCCACTCGGCCTGGCACGCTCGGGCCAGTTGGGCAGAGGGGGGGGTCGCCCGACAAAACCAGACGGGTCAAAAACGAGGCAAGGATCCCCCCCCCAAAAAAAGGACTTCAGGCCAGGACTGCGCCTGGCCTAAGCAGTCAGAATCCGGTCTCAACTCTGGTTCCGGTGATGGGTTATCCAGATGGGCTGGGAGGTATAAACAGTGACTAAAGGGGTTAAAAGGGAACATTTGGACTCATGTTTTCTCATTTATTTTTTATCTTAAAAGTATCCCGGATGTTCGAGGTGGCCCTCAGCTAAAAGTCGTTTGAATTGCAATTTTACAAAACATATTTTTTTTTGCAGAATTTTTTGATTTTTTTTTCTATTTTTTTTAATATTATGCGCTGCGATCGCCCGGGACTCTGCCCGGGCCCTGCCCGGCCCGGGCCGCCTGGGAAGGTACCCAGGCGACCTTCCCCCAGCCGGACCGCCCGGGGACTAACACAGTTTTTTTGAAAATTTTGAATATTTTTTGTGAAAAGTCCACAACCAAATCTACAGACCTGTGAATTTGCAGAGTTGTTGAGTCCCTTCTCAGCGCAAAAAATCATGGAAGTTAGGGTACTTTTCTCGTTGGCCCACGTGCTAGAGTGACAAAAATGGAAAATGCGACGAAAGGGTGCGGCATTTATTTCATGGCCTAAAGTTTTTATTTTTATTTTTCATATTTTTCTTAGAAAGATCACAGTCTAATCTACGGGATCTCAATTTTTCAGATTTTTTCTTTAATTCTTCTGAGCGCAAAAAATCGCCAAAGTTGGCGCTTGAAAATCCCTGGATTGGACCTGCCTGCACCTGCCAGTCGCCGGCCCCCCTAAGCACCTGGTCCGTAAGGCCAGGAAAGGTGAATCTAGGCCGGCGAGGGTAGTGGTGGTTTAACGCTACCCCTACAGTACTGTCCTATCTACTAGGAGTGTCTGACTCCAACACCAAAGTGGAACGCTGGATCCCTACTTGATCAAAGTAGCAACTTGCAGTCCGTAGATGCAGAATGGCTACCTCCCTCAAGCAGGCGAGCTTGAGGGAGGCCCTAAAGTCACCAAGTGTCTCCCTTGAATCAGGTTCCAGGAGCGAGTGCCTCTCACTGTCGCCTCTCCCAAATGGCCGCACAAAGTCTTCTCGAAGTGCCTCACCACCCAAACTTACTCTCAAGCAACCTGGTCAGTTCCAGTGTCGACCCAACACGACCTAACCAGGTGGGGGCAGCTTCCCCTAACCACGCTGCCCCACTTCCCTCAACTTTCCAACCCTAACCCTAAGTGGTAGCCCTCCCGCTTAGGTTAGGGTTGAAGCGGCAAAGTCAACTCTCGCCAGCAAGGAGAATCCGCTCTGATACCAATGTTACGATCCTGGACAATTTCTAAGTGCAAAATCACGAGAAAGCACAACGGCGTCCAATTGCAAAAAGAACTTGAGAGGAGAGAGAGGGAAAGAAAGAGAAGAAGAAGATTTTCATCAGCAACGACCAATGATAATTCCCCTTCTTTTCGCCACTCCAATCTCCTCCTCATTTTCTGCTCCCCTCTTATTCAAACAATAATAATAATAATAATAATAATAATAATAATAATAATAATAATAATAATAATAATAATGAATGGCAGAACCAGAATCAATGTCCGGATCCGTCTTCTACTGCCAGCCCAACTTGAGGTCTGCCGTAGTCATGGCCGCCTCCCTCTTCCTCCTTCCTCCAGGCCGAGGCTATGTCGGACTGCTAAGGGCCTTGCCCTGATGGCAAAAGACAATACGAAGCAGCTAAGGCCTCTTCCTCGCAGGCCGCTATGCCTGACTGTGCCTCCAAGCTTCTTGGTGCAGCTCTACTGCAACAGGGGCTTTCCAGATGCAGCTCCCACCAAGGTGATGACGATGGCGTCCACCGTAGCCAGGTAAGTACCCCTGGCGCTTCCCTCTCCTAGTCCCTTCTTCCTCCTCCTCCTACCTGAACTCCTCCACCATAGCTAAGGTGGGGAGTTGGGCGACCTTCTTCCCCACACAGTGCTGCACACTAGCGCTGATCCTCCAGCGCTCCAGTAGCATGACGTCCAAACTTGCATGCAGCAAATGAGGAGCATTTTGCTCCTCCTAGAGATATAGCGGCCAACTTGCCTCTTGGGCGGTGACTTCCTGGTTGCGTGGCCTCCAAGAAACCAGTACCTCCTCCCTTTCGGAGGGAAACATCATTGCAGACTCTGATATCGCCCGTACAGGCCCTAGATTCAGACTACTTGGACTGGTACCCACCTGGACCTAGCCTACAACTATTGGGCCGCTTAAAATGCCAACTTTTTGTCTTCTTCTGCTCGGCCTCCAGTCCCCCACACATCTACCGCTACTTGAGCGGTACCGGCCTACCTGCTACTTGAGTGTTTTTCCCTGGTGCTCAAAGTGTTGCGGGCCTCCTCCCGCTGCTTCAGTGTTTTCCCCGCTGCAACCCTCAATGTCACGGCCACAGGTAAGTACCGGCCCTATGGGGCCTCCCAAGCATGCAAGTATCTTTGCGGGTCGCACACACACTCACGCAGTCAAGCACTCAGACAGGCACGCAGACCAGCAAGCACATACACACACACAGACACACAGACTTAGAAAACTGAGCAGAAAGCGGGAATCTCAGCAAGGCATTCGTTCCAGCGGCAAAACTCAGAAATCAGCTGTGTTCTCAGTCCGTGTTTGGGCAGGCCCTTACATAAAGACGAAATAATGCAGAATGGACAAAACAACTGAATGAAATAGTTATAAGAACAATGTGAAGTCCAGAAGGCCCAAAATGGTGACCAGCAACAAAAGTGTGGCCTTGGCCCCCCAATGAAAATGGCCAGGTCCTCGACATGCCACAGTAGCTGAAGGATGAAAGAACAGGAGAGAGGACATCAGTGATGCCTGTAAAAGTGATGCAAGGTTGCACATGGGGTTTTGTCTGGGAATCTGCTACGTCCTGACCATCATCTTGAGTGCTGGCCTCGACCTCCAGGGTTTATGTGAGGTCTCCCTGCCTCAGCAAGTTTGTGTCACCTATAACTGAAACATAAGAGCGGAAGAAACGGTTAAAAAAGAGAGAGAACTGGCTCAACTGAGCTCATGCTCCCCACAATCTAACGGAGCCACAGCCATTAGGAGACCGCCGTGACAGAAGACTTCCAAGTACTTTGGGAGAGCTGTAAACATTGGAACAATACAAGAGAAGATTAGTATGGCCACTGGGCAAGAATGACGCACACAGATCAAGGAATGTTCTCCCTCACCTCAACACCCACCACCCTACCAAATAAGAAAACGGAAGAAGAAGAAAAAGAGTTTCTGTTTGGGGAGTCACCGTCAAAGTGAGTGTTAATTGATCTTTGAATTGTGGGAACACATGATGACATATTTTCCCTCCATGTTCCGCCAGTCGTGCTGATGGTAAGTCACACGTTTGTTACCATTGTGTTGCAGAAAATGGGAGCAGATAAGCCTCAAGATAGAGTGCTGAGAGGTGGAACGGACGTCCGTCTCACTCAGAAGGAGCTGAAACAGTTGAGAAAGGATATTCAGGAGCAGGAAACGTTAATAAAAGGTTACCAGGTAAGTCACATGAAGCAAGTTGTGGTCACAGTTTTTGCTGAGTAAGCAACCAAATTGCTGAGTTGATGGAAAACTGCAGAAATCCAGCAAAATAATGTCTTCCACAGTTTTCAATGCTGGTCAGGGTTCCTTCGGCCGAACGGAAGGAAGCGTGAGTGGGTAATATTATGTATTCAATCTTGACTTGCCGGGGGAATAGGAACCGGACTGACGCTCTCCAGAATGGATATGGAGCCAGGACCTTAAGGACTTGTTATAAAAAAAAAAAAGAAAAAAAAAAGAAAAAAAAAGAAAAAAAAAGTCTTCCACAGTTCGGCTGCCACATCATCAACTTGCCTGGTTGCATTTCATTTTTCCTCTTTTTTTGTTTCCTTCGGCGCTTTTGAAGGGAGGAAAAAGAACAGGGTCTTATGGTCCTGGCTCCATTCTATTTTGGGAGAAGCAGTTCGGTTCCTTTTCCACCAACAAGTCAACAATGTACATACACACTCTATACTTCCTCTCATAGAGGCCAGAGGAACTTCCCTCAGCATTGATTGCTCTGCTTTGGAGAGGATTAACTAGGGGGCGCAGCCACAACAGGTTTCCAATTCCCCCAACACTCCCTCATAGTATCTTTGCCCAGAAAGCTGAGCCATACTTTCCAGAGTGGTCTGTCCCTCCTGTCCCTCTCAAGTTTTCCTTTTTTTTTCTGCTCTACCTCTGGGCGTCTTTAACCAGCTCCGGAAACTGTAGCTCTCTCCTGTCTGCTAACATCCAGAGATTCTTCTCAGTCCTTCTGGACTGCCCATTTCCTCTCCAACCTCTAAAAGCTCTGATTACTCGATCACACTCCCTTGTGTTTTGGCCAGAAGGACCACCTGACAGCTTTGATTACTCCCTGTTAGTGCAACTGCCTGTTGGATACACAGACCGGCATTCAGACCCCTTCTATGCTAGAAATACCCTGGGTCCAAGTATATCCACTGGTCCAAGTATGTCTACTGGACCCCAATGGGCCTCCCCATCTGTGATCGATTGCCTGGTAAAACACTCAAGACAGGCTCTTCCTGCAGACCAATGTTCAGACTGCTTCTACACACCGAACGGAAATGGTTAGTAAAAGCAAAAGAGCTATCAGAGTAGGCAACCTTCAAATACGAAAAAAAAAGAGGGCCAGGGGAACAAGGTATGAGCGATAAATACATAAGACATGCAGACTCAACATATGTTCTTCAGGACCTGAGACCAAAGAAGACTACCATGAACCAGAAAATAAAATGGAATCAACACGGCCCAAGCAGGAACAGAATCTGTAGAAAACTCCGCAGAAAACTCTGCAGAAAAATCAGCGAGGACTGAGCTTGAACAAGAAATTGCAGTGATTGAAGCACAGGCTGATAAGCTTAAGAAGCTGAACATGGCCTATGAGCCAGAGCTTGTCTCTCTTAGGCACATAGCCGAAGACAAGGTCCCTCATGTGTCGCAACAAGTAAAATCCGTAAGGCTGACATTGATGGGAACCCACCCACTCTTGGCTGCACGATATGTGGAAATGAAAAAAGAGTGGCAGGTTGCCACAAACGTGTCCTTCACGATCCCTAGGATTGATGAAGACCAGAGTGTGGTGACCATCCTCCAGGAGAAAGTCACAATGGCCTATCCTCTAGGTGTCTTTGAGATAGACACCATGGCATCCCACAGGATGGCGGACTGCAGTCAGTGCTACAGAATGAGCCGCAAAATGAACAGGACCAGACAGACCCTAACAGCTCACAGAAGGACCAGCCTGATCCGAGATCTTTCATCCCCCTCATTGCCAAAGTGCCAGAGGGTGCCAAGTTGAAGGGAGGAATGAGATGGAGGTCATGGAATACGGTGACAACTATCGCTTACAACATGCTGCCTCTCTGATCCATATGAGAATCTTCAATGGTGATGCTTGATCGGATTGTAGGGCATAGGCAATAGACTTGGGAAAATATTCTAGAAATGAATGCTCTGAAGAGCAGATGGAGGAGATGGATGAGTGGTCGCTGGGCGATGATGTTCTAAAATTGGAGACATCTCCTGCCAAGGAAATCAGCGGATGCATAGGGGAGTACAAGATGGATGAATCGGGTTCCAATACCCAGTCTGATCCACCTCGAAAATCCACTGATTCTATGGACTTCGGGGACTCAAGCACTGCTTAGATCGAGTCTCTCGTGCCCTACCATGCTCACGTTACAAGCATGATGATGCATTGTATTCTAGGGCATTCACAATAGACTTGGAAATATATTGTAAAGATGAATGCTCTGAAGAGGAGATGGAGGAGATGGAGGAGATGGATGAGCGGCCGCTGGACGATGATGCTCCAAAATTGGAGACATCTCCTACCAAGGAAATCAGCAGCAGCGTAGGGGAGTACAAGATGGATGAATCCGGTTCCAATACCCAGTCTGATCCACCTGGAGAATCCACTGATTCTATGGACTCCGGGGGTTCAAGCGCCGCTTAGATCTGGTCTCTTTTGCCCTACCATGCTCACCTTACTGCTCGGGCAAGCTCATGAGCCCCTTCTTTTTTTGTGTTCTCTGAGTAACCTGGGTCGATCTAATCCAGTTCCAGTTCCTCTACCCGGTTGAGGTTGCGTTTATCAGCAAACAGTAATGTCGTGATCAACATGTTTCGGTTGTGGTTTTGAGAGTCTCGCTGTTCACAAGGCTTGTCCTTGTTGGGCCCTGATGCATGGGGACACGCCGGCCAATCTTGACTTTTCGCTTCCACTGTTTTCAAAATTTCCTTGTATATTGTTATACCTTTACGTAGGATTTACGCTTGCCTGGAATTCTTTTTACTCATATTTTCTTGAATTCGGGAATGGCGGGTGCCCATTGGGATATTTGGCGACGAATCCTCTCTTTGTGCATGTACACTTTCGGAGATGCCCTTGCAAGCCCTGTGGAAATTTTGCTGATGGACGTTAGAATAGGAATGGGCGTAGGAGTTCGCGGGTTTTAGATTTTTCTTTCAGACGTTTCAACTTCAATTCGGCTTCAGGAATTAGGCGCGACTTCACTAGCATTTCGTGTAACTGTCGTGGTGCCTTTTTGATTCTCAACGCATGCATCTTTTTGCGTCGCGCTTCCAGAAGAAATCTTTCCCCCACTTCCCCAACCTCCTTCTTCGCGCCATTAGCGACAAGCTGCAACTGTTTTCTTCTCCCTTTCTTCGCGCTCTTTCTCTCTTCTTATACTTCCGTTGAATCTTGGTCTTGCTCCACTCTGTCTTTCGTAACCTCCTTTCTCGCCTTCGTTTACACGCAGGAAAGCCCCGCCGATTCCCCAAGTACTCGTGGAAGTCGGACGACAACGTGTAAGGAGGTCCTGAACTCCGCATGCCGTGATTCGATTGGCTACGAAGTACTTCACGAACGTTCACGCGGATCGACATGGCCCTTCCGAGTGTTTCCTCCTTTCTCATCCCCGCCTTCCTTCATACTCTCTCCCTCTTCTTCGCTACTATAGATCTCACAAGCGCGTCGTTATTGCTCCCTCGCAATACATTGGCCAACTCTGGTGGAGTAGCGGCTAGATGAGGTGGTAATCAGCACTTCGGAAAGTTCTGACGAGTCAACTGCAACTTGGCGAGATTGAGCTCTGGATTGCTGCGATGGACTGCAGGATAGAGGCGAATCAGCAAAGTAGATGAGTGGACGGGGTGACGATCACTGGGTTTTAGAGCTGGTTACGTGGCGGCTGGGACCGCCAGTGCTCGAGCCGAGAAATGTGTGTTGGTGATTGATCGGGTGGCCCGGGGCCATAGTTCGAGAGTGAAAGGCGTTGCGCCTTGTCTCATTGTTCTTCCTCTTGCCATTGCTGAAGTTAAGTAGGCTGGTGGGATGCCAATTTCTCCTTCCATAATCGTGCGAGTGTATACTTCTTTCCTCCCCTGCTCTTTTTCTATGGATTTATGAAGTGGATAATATTTGCCTGTGTTGCTTGTGCTGATAATCTGTGTATGGTAGTGGGTCTTAAATTGCGCCCCTCGTCCCGCTCTGTCGTTGTCAAGATCTCGCTGGGTGGCGATCGTTGACACGCAAGGGCCGGTGATGGTTCCTTGATGAAATGCGTGTGTCTTCTCTCTTCCTCTCTGTTTGGGATTGCAGTGATGTATCGATGATGGATGCATGTTGTCTTCTTTTATTTCCCCCTCGTTAAAGGTTTTCGTCAGAGGTGATACACGTGCTTTCAATTGACTCAACCAGCTCGTTTCTCGGAACATTCTTCAACTAGTAACGCGCCTTTTTTGTAGTCGGTAAGGCACGTTGGTTTGGCGGGATTCTTCATTTTGGTCCTCCTCTTCGATGAGATTAACGAATGCAGGTGCACACAGAAAAATCCAGCAAGATCTTTTGTCGGGCTCTTCTATACTTGTAGATTCTCTTGGCTCTCAGCTGGCTCGTTATAGAAACGCTGGAGGCGAATCTTTAGCTTTGCGACAAGCAGCCCAACGATTCTGCTCCCACCATTCCGTCAGTCCTCTTCGACTCGTAGGGGAATCCAACTCCTATGGACGCAATCCCACCTTCCGTTTGTAGAAACGAGCGGCTAGATAGTGGCTGTTCTTCCTCTTCGATGACGAGGAAGAATCCCCTCCCGTTGCTCGTAGCGTCTCGTAGCTGGCCCGCAGCTCCTCTCCCTGTTGCAGGCTCGTAGAGTCCTGCCTACGTGCTGGACAGCGCCCCTTCCACACGTGGTGCAGCACCCCCATGTGAACGTGGAGGGCGGGTGGCGCAGCTTGAAAAATAGCGCTGCCAGGTGCGCTAACCGATGGTGTGGATGCGAGGGGGAAAAAAACTTCTTTTGTTTTTTTTTTCGGATTTTTCCCACCTACTCTTCCTTCTCATAAAAAAATACGATGAAAAACCTTCCTCTTTTTTGTTCCGGATTTTTCCCACCTTCTCTTCCTTCTCATCAAATTCTAGTGCAATAACCCGCTCAAATATGCCTATGTCGTCGCCCAGAGGGGAGCCA